GTTCTGAAAGGTTGTACACGAATTCCACATCCCAAGGGCCTATTTATACCTTTAGACTCCTTAAGGGTTTCACCCTAAACCCTAATTGGATAATCTTCTCTTAAGGCTATCCAAATCCATTCCATAGATATCCCTATGGACGATCTTGAGCTATCCTAAAGCTCTTAGAATCCGTCCAAAGTGTATCTTAATGGATTTACAGTCCAAAGTCTAACTATCAAACAATTGACAGTTTATACTCTCTTATTTAATTAATCTCTTTAAGTCACCAAATTAATACCAATTAATTTATGACTTATATTAATCAAAATAGCTAAATATTATTCCTTATAATATTTACTCTCTCTTAACAAATCATCCTTCAAGTTGCTATGGTGAAGGCAACCCAAAAGGACCATGCACCACCGAATATAGTTATAGCCTTAGACACTATTCCAACAGGGATAACTCACCTCGCGAATGCCGATACTCTGAATTGAATAAGCAGACTCTCGAACCACCAACTCACCGCAAAACCCGAACTAACCAACATAACAAGCATAAGCATTAGGTCAAACATACTTCCACTTATCGGGCCAAGACCAAAGTCCAAATCTCACACAAAGTCCAATATTGGCCCAATTTACCAAATTGGGCCCACCTCGCCAAATGGGCCTAGATCCAATGTCCATAACATTAATTGGGCCCAAAATACTCTATTCATAATTTACAGACTTGGCCCAAACACCAACAACCCACAAATGGCCCAAACTCAAAAGGCCCAAAATGAAAGTCCACAGGAGGAGTACGCTGGGCGTACCCTCCTTGGTACGCTGGGCGTACTGTAATGATCACCAAAAGAAAACGGGGCACCGGCCCGCTACGCGGGGCGTAACTGCGAGGTTCATTAAGTCTTTCTAACTTCTTAATGGCTTAAGCTCTTAAGCCCAAACTTCAGATCCATAGGCCAAATATGATTAGGATTCATAAAGTCTCATACTTTATCACTTGGGACGTCCTTAAGCTCTTAATCCATTAAGACCTATATATCTCACACATGGAACAACTACAACCCTTGGGACCTCATTTTTCTCACTCAAGACCTCTCCAAAGGTCTGAAAGGACAGCTAATCTTGACCAAATCAAAATATGCAATAAGGTGAGGGCTTTTGGGACAAGAATGGTGACAAAGCTTCAAAATACATAGATCTATACAATATGAAGGTCAAGCAAGAAGCTTTATACCTCAAACAAGCTCCAAATGATGGTATCTCTTCAGATCTACAAGCTCCACACGTTCTTCTTCTTCTTTGACAACTTCTCTTTTCTCCTTCAAGCCTTTCTTTTGCCAAAAAGAGTTTTCCAAGGTCAAATACACCCAATAATGGAGGAATACGGGTCTTCTAGGGTTTTCTGAGGTTAAGGATGAGTATATGGAGGCTAAGGGGTGAACCAACATGTTCCTTATATAGTGGCTGACCCTAAATTAGGGTTTGGAGTTTCTGAGAGTACGCTAGGTGTACCTCTAGTACGCTGGGCGTACTCACCCGGCCAACCCGCATCATTCACCCTATTACGTTCGGCGTACGTCTAGCTTACGTTGGGCGTACCCAGCCAGACTTCACAATTAAAACCATGCATGCATGCCATGCATGCATGGGGCCATTTCCCTCTTATTCCACAAAGAGCTACAACAATGATCAACTTCAAAACACCGCAACTCCTCTAATCTAAACCCGCTCCCAAATAACTTTACATTCATACGGGGGTGACGGAAGCCCAAATGCTTCTAACACATACACTAACCCAAAACCTTCTTGGATGAACTCATTTCTCGCAAAAGGACCAGAATTACCCTTCCTCTTCAATCTCAGGGACTTATAATTAAACACTTAAAGAACGGGGTATTACAATTATCTTAATAAATTAAGTTAAATTTGGTCCCTATGTTATTTAATTAACAAAACAACCTCTGTGTAACTAAATTTTCAAAACAGTCCCTATGTTAAAAAAAATTACATAATGACCCCATTGTAGATCTAGCAAACAATTCCAATCACAATTCTTCCCTATCAGGTATGTTATTTATATATAAATGGATGAAAGTAAGTTTTCATTACATGAAAAAAAAAAATTCTTCCCTATCAGGTATGATTCCCCACCAACCATGCTATTGAAAGTATGTTGCTATTATAGGAAAACGAAAAAAATAAGAGAACCAAAAAATTGATAAACCAACCAAATAATCGATGCAACTGGAAAAAATAATGTTTAAAAGCTAACTGCTATAAAAGAAATGAATGAAATAAGACAAAAGATGATAGAATTCATGTTGTTAGCCCAAGAAACACTCTTATAGTTGTAAAGAAGGCCAAGAATGTTTAGAGGAAATAAATCACATTTTGACTAACAGTAAAAGTGCATCAGATTGTTGTTTAGTATATGTCAAAGGGTATATTATTAGAAAGAAAGAAAAGTTGAGTAAATCATTGGGTAAAGTCAAGTTTGAAGATACGGATATGATGCTTAGGAGTCAAGATGATGCAATTTCTGAATTAGGAGGAATATGTTGGATAATCCAGAAACTGGGACAATTTTAGCCCAAGGGTATTTTCAGAAAAACTACCATATTTTAGTTTTGTTATATGTTTAGGATTCTGTTTTGGAGTAGACATATTTCATTAGGTTAGTTTGTATAAATAGGCTCGTATAGTTTGATCTAAATTTAAGTTTTAAGTTATATGTTTTGCAATTAAAAGTATTCTTTCATATTATATCTTTTGTCCTGTTTTCCTCGGTCCCTTCATGCGTATCTATGTGCTTGAGGTAGATTATCTCACATATACCTTGGTGAGCAATTTATAATCAGTAAACTAAAGTTCTAACCCTTATTTTGCCACCGGTTATCGTTTTGTTCATGTGAACAAAGTGTCTAGTAGTTTCACTTCTTCCTACCTGTTACATTAATTAGTTATTCCTGTGATTATCTTGGTGCACAGGGTACATGTGTGAAGCAACCAGTGTTCTAGTTGTTGCTTGTGATTGAAGCATATGACGTTTAAGCAAATAAATGAAAATTTATAAATTAAAAAAATTAAAGGCATGTGTTTTAGCATTTAAATGTATATACATAATTTGGATACTGAATAGAATATTTTTCAAGAATGTGTCAACTAAAGATCACTAATCTAACAGAAAGGAAAAAAAGTGAACTACATTTTTTTATTCCTATTTCTTGTGATCAATATACCTCAAACCTAGAAGCAGACTTTAAACACTTAAGTGTATATGTAAAATCTACTAAATCAACTGCCACTATTATGATAATTAATCTAAAAAAAACTTATATAATAAAAAAAATAATAATTTATTTAATCATACATCATGGGTCCTGTTCCGGTACAAGGTGACGAGGTACCAAAAGATTATGATAATTAATTAAAATTTAAGGATTTATGTAACAACCAAAATTTTTTTTAAAAGAAATTCAAACTTTCCAAAAACCATCTTTACACAATTAAAAGTTATTCAAACATCAACAAGTTCTAATTGTTTTTAAAATGTTTTCATATCAGAGTTCCCAGAATCCAGAATCATAAAAACGGGGATGTGTACGTCACGCCTTCGCCTTGCTATGGTCAACTGATGTACCTGAAACAATAAACAATAAAATGTAAGCTCGAAGGCTTAGTGAGTTACCCCCAAAATACCAACCTCTAGCATCCAACACAAAAAGAATAATAATTAACAGCATGCATAATGAGCCTTCAGCCTGACTGGACCGCCTCCTACGGGCCTACAGCCTATCTGGACCGCTCTCGAGCCTTCGACATGACTGGACCGCCTCCTACGGGCCTACAGCTTATCCGTACCGCTCCGGGTATGTTGGCCTCAACCGCACAAAGCAGGACACCGCCTCAACCCAACCCATCCATATATGTCGACATATAAATAACACATAGTCATATAATAAACACAGATCATACTAACGGCTAACATAGTAGCATTCTATCCATCAAGTTACCAATCCAAGTGATCATGAATATGGAACACATACTAACACCGGGAATAAATCCCAAGGGACTGACCTAGTGTCGTAGACCCTGATGGTATAGTGAGGATAACTCACCTCGCAATAGTGCAGAACTGAGCTGAGAGTCTTCAACTGCTATGCCCGACACCCTCGACTGAGAGATAAAAGAATATGAATAACTCAAATAGACCCAAATTATCCAAATATATGATTGGTCCAATTTATTAAATTGGGCCCATCACCCTATTGGGCCTACACAAAACCTACAAGTCTAACCTGGCCCAACAACATTGCATCCACAGTCCATTAAGGGATTAACCCAATTGGCCCATAACCGGCCCAAAGCATAAAACTCACAAGCCAAAAGTCCAACAGGGAGCGTACGCAGGGCGTACCTCTCAATTATGCTGGGCGTCGTAATTCATCGTTGACCATCATCGGGACGGCTGGCCACGTATGACCCATTGTATGTTGATATGTATGGTATGAGGTGTTTTGGCGGAATCACTAAACTTCGTGCTTACGATTTTCAGTTTTATGTTTCAGGTACTTACGGATCAAAAGGTCACATCGCACACACCACGATTTCCATTTTATTTGACTCTGACGTGTTGGGATGATTGATTGACATACTCTGATTTTCTTTTATGATTTTATGAACACGTTCTGATTGATGGTTTTGTTATTATGAAAACAAAATTTTTGGTTTTAAATTTTGGGACGTTACACAACATTTTACTCTTTCCTTGTCCGCCTCATTTACATGTGTTCACTTTTACATGTCAAATGTTTTTTTTGTGTGAAATAGTCACCTTATTCCATGTAAAGTCATGACCTTCGACATCTACCTTCCGTATCTAATACAATTCCAAAGAGATTCCCGGGTATGATGTTGTTGTTGCTGCTTTTTGTTGTATCCATTTTTGCACATATAGAGGACTTAATTGGTCACTTATTAAAATGTAGGGGGGTGTTTATGAGAGAATATATGTACACTCTCATAGTTTCTGTAAGTGCCAAAACTGAACCATCTTTTTCCCCTCTTCTCGGTAAATTGCAAAACCCCAGCGCTCTCTTAATCCCTTCATACGGTTTCTGGTTGGAGTCTAATCTCCATTCGTTCGTAGCTGTCGAACTTCTGCCATTTGATCCAATCATAATCACGATCGGTATGTTCTGTTGTACTCTTTGTTTTTGCTCAGTTATAATACGATTTTCTTCTACTCAATCAGTGAACTGCATTTCCGCTACAATTCTTGTATTCACTTGGACAATTCTGCCAAATAACTTTCATCTGTGTGCTTACAGATGTCTGTTTGTTTGTATGTGTATATACTTATGTGAGTTTAATTTTAATCTTGAACAGAGATGAATGGAGGGTATGTTAACGGCGAATTAGGTCAGCTTCGAGCCACTATGCAAACAATCGAAATTGCGTGCAGCTCCATTCAGGTCTTCTTCTTTTACTGTTGATTGAAACTTGATTTATTACCCCAATCGGTTGCGAATTATCAGAGCATTTAGTAAGAGGTGAATCATTAAGTGTGGGTTTTATGATCATGATTGATAAAACTACTAAGCATCAATGTAAATGTGTCAATTTTGAACTACTAAGAATCCTATCATAAAAATCAACGCAATTCCTGTAAGTAGAAAACAAGTAAGATGTAATTCACATTTTCTCTCCTAATAATTGCATCATCTCCCCTGAAAAAAAAGGAAAAGATGCATCGTTGGTGGTAGCATTGCCAGATGCGGGTTTAACTCATTTTGGAGCAAGATTATATATGCTTTTATATTAATTTGGAGCTTGCACTCTTTCAGTTTCCCCTCTCTGCAATTCATAAACATGCCTATATTGAGAATGTTAATGCCCTTTCATTTGTTTAAAATATGCAGATAAATGTAAATCCAACGGCTGCTGAGGCCACTATATTGTCTCTATGCCAGTCTGCTCGACCATATCAGGCATGCCAGTTTATTATTGGTAAGTCAAGACTCAAGAGAATCACCTCATACTATGCTTAGATGTAAGGTTTTATAATGTGGTATTTATTTTTAAAACTTTACATCTTAGTATGGAGTTGTTGATGCCAAAGCAGTGAAAACAAGGTTGAGTAGAGCAAAGGCAAATGGGCATTCATATCAAACTGCATATCTTTGCAGAGTAGTATATATCATACCTATGCATCATAAAGGGATATATACTTAACCTAAATCATATATATGTCATGAAGAGTATAACTCTTATTGCTATCTTTATGTTGGTCTATTAGATCATGTCAAATTACTCACAGTTTGGAATATTTCTTCTTTATGGTGATTCTTTACTTTCTAGAAATTCTTACATGTAAATAAAGTTCATGAAATTTAATTCTTTTATCTAATTAGCTTCCTACATCAACATCTATCACCACATAGGACCATCATTCATATAACCTTGATGCCACTTAGGCAGCAAATCGTTTACTTTTTCATCTTCTTCATCATGCATTCATCAAATATATATGATAAAAACAAACATTTATCATGTAAGACAGAGTGGATCATGCAACAACTTTCTTATGTGCCTTTCATTTTGTATTGCTAATCTTTCTTAAGTAGCTGATATCCAGACATTTTCTTTCATTTTGCAGTTATCCTTTTGACTGTTTATTAGACCACACCAGCTATAGGGTAGATTTTTAAAAGTACAATGCCTTATTAAGAAAAAATATTGAAATTTAAAGACTGTACAATAAATGAAAGTAAGATGCTACAATAAGAAAAAATGGATGTAGATTGCTGTTTTTTTGCATTCAACCCTTTAACCAATTGATTGACTCTTGATAATCTAGGTAGATCCTTAATTGTTTCAACAGCCCACTTTCAAGAAATGACAGCTGTACTTAAACACATCTGGATCTAAGCATCTCATTTTTATGATCAATGTTTTTTCTATTTGTACTAGTTCTGTGTACATGTGTGTGTCATTTTACACCTCCAAAAGAACAATTTGAAAAATGATATTAGTTTTTGAATAAAATCAAGTCTGTCGTATTAAATAGAACATCTGTATATCTTTTCCGCTTAGAAATGTTATATTTCTTTCTAGAAAAAGGATAAAGCTACTTGCTATATAGATAACAATCCCTTTCTTTTTATTACATAAACAAAAAAGGTAGTAATCTTACTTTGAAATGGAACAAGCTTATTCATCATCAACCATCTTTCAGAATCAAAACATACTGGTAAAAGAAACTTCTTTTTATTATACAAGAGAATTCTCCTGGTATTTAATAAAAGTGTCTGGATATATTTCATAGTAAAAAAGATGTCAAATGCTACAATTTGGAAAAGAAATATTATCTTTATTGTGATATCAACATCTGAAATGTTAGTGATCTCTTTACTATATCCAGAAAATTCTCAAATGCCAAATGCAAGATTCCAAGCAGCTACAGCAATTCGAGATGCAGCTATACGAGAATGGTCATTTCTTTCATCCGAAGAAAAAAAAAGCTTGATTAGGTATTTTAAAATGTCACCATTAGTGTTAATAGTTACATGTTAGTTCTCTGCACTGTGATCTTTATTTATTTTTTAACCAAGTTGGGGTTTATGAAAGTTGTTGTAATGATAAGAAAGCATTAGAAAGCAACTTTGTTTGAAACATTTCAAAACCCTTACAATGCAGGAATAGAAGAGTTACTATATGTAGGCATCATAATGATTAAGTGAATATATGAATTATCTAAGAATTGATGTTATACTTTTTGCAGTTTTTGTTTGTCCTATGTAATGAAACATGCAAGTTCACCAGAGGGCTATGTTCTAACAAAAATTTCATCCGTTGCAGCTCAACTGATGAAAAGGGGTTGGTAAGTTTCATATAAAAGTTCAATCACTTGGTATAATCTTTTTGTGTCTTCTTGCTTCACATATTTTTATATTATGAGTTTTTTTTTTTTTTTTTTTTTTTTTTTCTGTAACTTAACTTTTAATCCATTAAAATAAATAAAAAATCTTGCTAACTGCTTCAGATTGTCTGGCCCTAGTGTAGGCTGGAACTTAATGCTGCAGAAAAGGATGGATTTTTCTCTGAGGTAAGTTTCTCAAGTAAATTCATCCTTGTTAAAACTAATTATTATAATTTGTAATTCATTGCTGGAAACTTCATTTTTTTAGTGGCTGAAACTAATTATAATTTGTTGGCTTCAGATAAATATGGCTATTGCTGGTAACCATGGACTAGAAGTGCAGTTCATTGGACTCAATTTCCTTGAATCACTGGTATATGTTGCATAATGCTATTGAGTACCAATTTTCTTTTATACAAAATTCTCATGCTAAAAAATAATCTTGCAGGTGTCTGAATTTTCTCCATCCACTTCTACTGCTATGAGCCTTCCTAGGGAGTTTCATGAGCAATGCCGAAAATCTCTAGAGCAAGATTATCTTAAGGTTTTTCATTTTGTTTCTCATCATCTCATTAAACCATTTCCTACAACGACTTATTCTTAAGGTCTGTATCTTTTCTAAAATGAATGAACCATCTGAATGAGACTAAATGACCATTTTACCCTTACATTCCGAAAAACAAATGTCACTATATTCATCAATTTTAAGGCGAGAGGAAAAGAGAAAAAGGGCAAATAGTTAAAGGATTTGTGTGTTAATACATTAAGCCAGATTTTTTTGCTTGACCCATTAAATCATACTTTCCAGATTAAGTGCTTAACCCATTAAGTAAAAGAGAAACACCCATTAGGTTTTTTTTTTGAATGAGGCTTTCTGCTTTGAGTATATAAAGCAAGTGGACTGCATGGCATTTCATACAAGTGTATATAAATAACAGAAGAAACTTAAATTGAAAAGGAATCTGAAAGTTGTACATGATTGAACTCAAGAAAATTTATCTTTGTGATACTCACTTTCTCATTTCTTCTTCTTCTTCTTCTTCTTCTTCTTCTTCTTCTTCTTCTCTGTTTATTCCACAGAATTTTTATTGTTGGGCACTGGGGGCTGCACAAAGTGTTACTACTGAAATTACAAATTCTGATGCTTCTGTCTCAGAAGCAAGAGTTTGTACAACTGCACTTCGTTTCATGCTTCAAGTCCTTAATTGGGACTTTAGTAGCAGTGGTAGAGTTGCAAAAAACAGCATAGATGTTTATTCCTTTGTTGCTAAAGAAGATAGCAACTCCACTTATACGCTAGTCCAGGTAATTCTTTATTTATTTATTTTGGTTTTCTGTTACATTTGAAAGCAACATGTGCATTTTAGACAAGACTTAATTGCATAACAAGTCACCTTATGTTTGTTCTATCACCAGTTTAGTTGCTGAAGTTTCAAATGACAGTTCTTCATGATCATATGTTCTTATGAAATTATATTTCAACAATATCATTAACAAAGTTATATGTTTATATTAATTGAAATCCATTTTGAAAAGGGCTCATTTTAAAACATATTCGTAATATAGTTGTGTATGTGTAACTGTACTTTCCATAGTCATTAAGTATGGAAATAGTAGTAAGTGACAAAAAGGAATAAGAAGCACATACTATACTCTCATTTCACCTATTCTGAAAAAGCAAACAGTCCTATTTATCAATGAATTAGTCGAACCAAAACATAGGTGTACTTTTGTGTAATTCCTATTTCAGTCGATGAGCTTTCAAGATCCACATAAAAAGCATTGAACTTTCATGTTTGTTGCATCATTCAGCTGACATTTTACCATGAGTATAACTAATATTATACAATTCTTGAAGCCTGGCATTTCATGGCGTGATATATTGGTGACAAGTGGTCACACAGGGTGGCTTTTGGGGTTGTATAGTGTTCTCAGAGAGAAATTCTCAAGTAAAGCTTACTGGATTGATTGTCCTCTTGCTGTTTCTGCTAGAAAGCTCATAGTACAGCTTTGCTCTCTTACAGGAACTGTATTTCCATCAGGTAACCATTTCTTCTTTAAAACCATGTCAAATCTTTCTTCATGTTGCCTTTTATTTATATATCTTTTTCGTTTTTTCTTCAATCATAGATGCTGGTGTTACACAAGGGAAGCATCTTCTGCAACTGGTATCTGGAATCATTCTATGGATTCATCCTCCTGATGTTATTGCAAAAGCAATCGAATGTGGAAGAAGTGAAAGGTAATAAGTCTATCTTAGAGACTTAAACATGTCGAATATACGTAATTACTTATATACCCTCGTTGATGTTTTGTTTTTATTCAGTGAATTGCTTGATGGTTGTCGTGGACTGTTATCCATAGCTGCTGTTACCAATCCTGTTAGTTTTGACAACCTCTTGAAACAAATAAGGTAGATAAATCATTGACTTCATGTTTTAAGTGTATATATATATATATATCATATATGTATTCATTTATTTTGTTTTTGATCTGTTTAATGTTCAGGCCTTTTGGGACACTCAGTCTGTTGTCTGGCTTAATGTGTGAAGTTGTTAAAGACCTTATGACCAAAGATTTAGAGGATGAGCCATGGAGTTGGGTTGCACGTGATATCTTACTAGACACATGGACAACACTTCTAACAGTAATTATTTAAATAGTTTTATAAGAGTATTCATGTATAGTTACATGTTTCCTTTAATATAGTAATGTATGGATTGCTTTGTTTAAATCTTTTGCCAATGTTTTACAGGATACAAACAATTCTGGAGTGAAATCATTGCTTCCACCTGAAGGAATAAATGCTGCTGCCAATCTTTTTGCCCTAATTGTAGAATCAGAACTAAAGGGTATGTTTGGATTCTGCAAGTCTGCATTACTTTCTTTTAAAAACTCTTCTAATTTTGTTTTTTTGTGAATTATACACAGCTGCATCAGCCAGTGAAGAAAAAGAAGACTACTTTCAACCCTCTGTAGTTGGTAACCTATATCTCAACTTGTCTTATATTTTGACTTATTTTATGGTTCTCTTTGAGGCATTATCTGATTCATGTCTTCTTTTTGTAGCCATGGATGAGAGATTGAGCTCTTATGCCCTTATTGCACGAGCTGCTATTGATGTTACAATCCCTTTTCTTACTCAACTTTTTTCTGAGCGATTTGCAAGGCTTCATCAGGTATACATAACTTAATAGGTGTCCTGTTATTCAATCATGTATATCAAGAAATAGTGAGCATAATAGCACCATGGATTTTCTTTTTTGCAATTTTGTCACCTACAAATGATCAAATTTCGTTTCACAGACACCAATTGGAAGTTAAGATATGTGATATAGAGTCATCAATAGAGAGTTTAAAGCCTCAGTTTATATACACACTATTACCTAAATAGGAAACAAGAAGAACTAAAGTAACCCTATACTACAAAAATATTATCTAACAAGATATTATGTCAACTATTAGAAAGAAGAATAGGTGGTGTATAGCATGTCAACTATTGGAAATTTTGAAAAAAGGTTTCATCTCTTATTTTGTTTGTTCATCTGTCATATTTCTTTTAATAACCATTAATCCTATCTGGTTATGCTGTTCTTCCATGACAATCTTTGCACCTTCACAGGGAAGTGGAATAAATGATCCAACTACAACAATGGAGGAGCTGTATTCACTTTTGTTGATAACTGGTCATGTATTGGCAGATGAAGGAGAAGGAGAAACACCCTTGGTATGATTCTGTTAGTAGTTCATTTCATCTTCTAAAAGACATTTCTTTAATTATATAATTTACTTCTTTCAGATACCAATGGCTATAGAAACACGTTTTCCAGAGTACGTGGAAACAGACAAACATCCAGTAGTTGTACTTTCATGGTAACTAAGCATCACACTTTCCTTTTGTTAACACATCCAGTAGTTCTCATTTCTCTTGCATACATTTGTTTTGTTTTTCAGGTCTATCATAAAGTTTGCTGAACAGAGTTTAGATCCAAACATAAGAGCAGCTTTCTTTAGCCCTAGGCTTATGGAGGTACTACTTGAAAAAAAGCTAATAATCTTTCTGATTTTTTTTGCTACAGTCTTTATTTATTTTTTGATATGATTGTATAGGCAATTATATGGTTCCTTTCACGATGGTCTTCTACATATTTGATGACAAGTGGAGAAATGCAAAGTTACAGAAACTCCATAGATGAGGTTACACTGCTTCTGATGCAACGTTCAAGAGAAGCATTGCTTAGTTTTTCTGCTGAACATACTCAGGGAAAACCCTTACTCAACATTATTGTGCGAATATCACTTACAACACTCATTTCATATCCTGGAGAAACTGATTTACAGGTATCCTATACCTATACATATTCTTCAGTATCCTCTTACTCTTTCATGCAAGTTTCCCTTGTATTCAACCACACGATATCAGTTTCTATACTATACATCCACACATACACATAATTACATAAATATCTACATTATGCAATATTTATCTATATATATGTATAAATGTATTCATATATTTATTTCATCTGTGTGTGTGTTACAGGCTCTCACATGTAACCAGTTGCTTGGTGGACTTGTTCGCCGGAAAAATATCTGTGCACACCTTGTCACATTGGTTAGTGTTTTCTCTTTGATAACATCTCTAGTCTAATTTTTCATCAGACTTGTTTGTTAACTCAATAACTCTTTAACCTTTATAATAATTTGAATATCCAAATTCTTGTAAACTAGTATACATAACCTATTGACTTGTGAAAATAGTTAATGAATATTAATATTTTGCTTTTAATGCAGGAAGCATGGCGTGATTTATCTCATTGCTTTGCCAATGATAGAGTCATATTCTCACTAAATGCCACTCACCAGGTACAGTTTCATAACCCTTTTCCATCTTTTTTTATTTTTTATTTTTTTATTTTTAACTCACAACAATCTATGTGTATGGAAATTCTTACTAAACTCCTTGACCCTTATATCATTTTACCTATATAATTGCAGCGTTCCCTGGCTCAGACCCTTGTTCTTTCAGCTTCTGGAATAAAAAACTCAGTGGAAGCAAATCAGTAAGATATTTTCATTTTGTTATTATTATTATTTTTTTAAAAATATTATCTTCTAATATTTGGTTATAATTTGTGAAAGGTACATAAGGGATCTCACAAATCATATGACAGCTTATCTTAGTGATATATCTGGCAAGAAAGATATCAAGACTATTTCTCAGCAACCAGATGTTATTCTCGCTGTAAGAGAAAAAAAAAAACAATCTTTCATAAAAATTCAAAAACTATTTAAACAAATTCATGAATTTTTTCATAGGTGACTTGCTTATTGGAGCGACTTCGAGGAGCTTCAAGTGCTTCAGAACCACGGACACAGAAGGCACTTTATGAGATGGGATTTTCAGTGATGCAGTCTATTCTTAAATTTATTGAGGTTTACAAGGATGAGGTATTACTATTACCCATATTATCAAATTCATTATTGAGTCTATATTATTTCCATATGCTGATTTTATGATTTTTTTTTTCTTTTCTAGTCTGCAGTTGTGTATCTGTTGCTTAAGCTAGTTGTTGATTGGGTGGAGGGGCAAATCATCTACTTGGAACCTCATGAGACTGCAGTGGTTATTGACTTTTGTATGCATCTGCTTCAGCTTTACTCTTCTCACAACATTGGCAAGGTATCAAATTTGTTATCTTGTAGGAATATGAATGAATATCATGATTTTTTTTCTCTCTTTAACTTTGAAATTTGAATTGCTGTTTAATCTCTCCAGATATCTGTAAGCGTTTCAAGCAGTTTATTAAATGAAGCAAATGCTGAAAAATACAGGGATTTACGTGCTTTACTACAACTGCTTCAAAAACTATGCACAAAGGATATGGTATGTTATTAGAATTAGAAATTGCCTTTTTGTCAATCCTAACTTTAGAACCATGAACATTTAAAAGAATATTCAAAATTTCAGGTTGATTTTTCATCTGCTGCCAATGAGGAACAACAGACAAGCATTTCTCAAGTTATATATGTTGGTGTTCACATTGTTAGCCCTTTGATTACAACAGAATTGCTCAAGTATCCTAAGCTTTGTTATGATGTAAGCTTTCAATTTTTTCTTTTTAATTTTTCATTTCAAAATCTAATGTCTTCTTCTGGAGTATAGCACTTTGCCCTGCTGTCACACATGCTGGAAGTTTATCCCGAAATGATCCCCAAATTGAACCATGAAGCCTTCAGTCATATTTCAGGAACTCTTATTTACGGCCTCCATCAACAGGTAAATAATTTCTCATGGAAACTCTGGCAAAAAGAATCAAAAAAAAAAAAAATCAAAAAATCAGAATTTGATTTTGTTATAGGATGAAGAAGTTGTTGGGATGTGCTTGAGATCTCTGAGAGCCCTTGCAGTCTACCACTACAAAGAAAGAGGTGTTGGTAGAGATGGTTTAGGTCAACATGCTACAAGCTATAAGGACAATGATGGAAATTTTCAGGATGGCATTCTTAGTAAATTTTTACGTTCTCTACTTCAACTAATCCTCTTTGAGGATTACAGGTAACAAGAATAAACTTTTCCTACTTAAAAAATTATATAATTTATAAATATAATCTTAATTTCCTCCTGTGGTTTGGTTGTAGCACGGATCTTGTAGGAGCAGCAGCTGATGCTCTTTTTCCATTAATTCTCTGTGACCATGATCTTTACCAGGTATATAATCTTAACTATTTTCTGTAAATTACACTTTTCATCCCTGTGCTATATCGAATCTTTTCTATATGGTCCAAAACAGATTCTCTTTTCATTTTACTGTTTCATAATGTTACTCCCTGAGTAGTCCAAGTTAACAACAGGACGGGTGTTAAATTCATGGAAATGACGATTTTGCCCTTTTTTTTTTTTTTTTTCAGAGATTATGTAACGAATTGGTTGAAAGGCAACCGAATCCAATATTCAAAACAAGGATGGTGAGTGCATTGCACTCGCTAACAACCTCGGACGATCTGTCTCCATTGGCCGACCGCTCAAACATGAGAAAGTTCCGGAAGAATCTAAACCGTTTCCTTATTGATGTTCGTGGGTTTTTGCGGGTAATTTGATTATATAATATAAACAACCTTAAACTTTTCAACGGCGGCTGACAAGTTCTTCCGGAACAATGTATTCTGTTGGGATACTCGTGATGATTAGACGAACGTGTAGCCGGTCCGATTGGTCATATTCATACACAAGATTGTTTGTTTTTTTTTTTTTTTTATTGTTTTGTTTGTACAGTGTTTTTTCTAGTCTCTACTAGAAAATAGTGGATTTATTTGTTTGATATTTGGGTGTATTTCCATTGAAATGTCAAAAAGGAAGAGTATTGGACTAGAATTTTAGGTTCATGACAAATTCAGGTAGATCTTGAAGCATTTAAGTATTAGACAAAAGCAATTAGAAGATTTAATCGGAGAACATAGACAAATTTGGTATGCAATAATGGAATTAATCATTTTAATCTAATGGCATTAATATGTTTGTTTATGTTCTTTTTGAGTTCGGGGGTTATCATTTGCATATTATTTAACTTTTGATCTTCATATATAGAGCAAGACATATATATATATATATATATATATATATATATATATATATATATATATATATATATATATATATATATATATATATATATATATATATCAATGTTATGATTTTTGAATTATTAATCTAACGTGCTTCATGTGTGCCTACGTGTAGAGTCTATTAAGATTGTAAAATATGTTTATCTGCATTAGCTAATTATACGGATGGTTAAAAATACCAGTAAATTACACGAATGGTTTCTATGGTTTGAAGTAACATTTTTTTTCACTCGGAAAGTCTTTACTGTTTGTTTTTGTTACGTGTTTAGTCCCTACTGTTTGTTTTTGTTATGCATTTGGTTTTTATTTTACCTAAAAAGATTATTACTTAAATATAGAAAAAATGGTCGGGTAGGTAAAGTAAGTGAGGGAGTTGGTTTGGTGGTTTGTTTATTTAAATAAATTAAAAAATCAGGACAAAATAGTTTTTTTAGGTAAAACATGGATTAAGCGCGTTACAAAAACAAATAATAGGGATCTTTTAAGTTAAAAAAAAATAAGTTAAGAACCAAACATGTAAATTACACTAAACCATAGGGACCATTTGTGTAATTTACTCTAAAAATAACAATAAAAAGCCCGTACAATGAAAACATAGTTGTTGAAAGTAAGAAATTCCATATAGGAGTTTTGGTCATCTAAAATATTTTATAATATTCCATAATTAACCTTTCATATGGGTTATGAGACGGGTTGATGTATAAAGCTCTTATGGTGTGATTTATAATTTAAAAAAATTATAATAAATAAAAATTATATGTAACTATTTTTCATACACAAACGCAGTAGCAAAACTATGAATTTTGATATGAGATAAAATATAGTCAAAATTCAAAATATTATTTTCATAAAATTGCTTTTACGAGTGAATCGACATACTCTTCACTTGTTGAAAAAACGAGCTAAGCTATAATATCATCGCCAAGATTTTTTAAAACATATTCATCTCAATGAAAATGACCAAACAATCCATCATAAGACTGTTTCCCATTGGCTTTTTGATATAGGTATATTACTCATTATTTGAAACAATATCATATAAAATTATGAAAATTCATACTCAGTAATACATAATGAATATACAAAATTATCAAACAAATCAAAGACCAACATTATAATTAAAAGTTTCAGACCATTTATGTTAGGTCAAAAAAAATTATTAAATTTTTTAAAAAGATATCTGCGGCGAGGCTACACTGTTATTAAGGGTGTCCATTGACATCTTTGGTTTTGGAATTTTTTATATAGGATAATGACTTAAAATGGTAATATGTTTTTTGATTTATACATATTTGGTCACTGAGTTTTAGTTTTTTTTTTTTTTTTTTTTTTTTTTCATTCATATTTACCCTTTCAACTTGTTAAACTGTATACATTTGGTCCTTATGACCGGTTACTCTAGTTTAACCGAGAAAAATGACTTAATAGGGTAATATATTTCTCATTTTGTACACATTTAGTTCTTAATATTTTTGTGCACATTTAGTCCTTAATATTTTTGTACATATTTAGTTCTTAATAATTTTTTTGTTTCAAAAAAAGTTATTTTTGTTTTTATACTCATTCAGTACTTATGAATTATTTCTTTAGTTTTTCTTACGATATCTTACGTGGGACAATCACTGATGATGTGTTTTGGGCTATTGATGCTTATGTCCATCGCGGTCTCAACTGCTTGGTTGTGTAGGTCTTGTGATTTGGCTTAAGTTTTGTGTTCTGAATTTCGTTACTTCTTCATACGATATCAGATTCTAATGATATTTATATTCATGTGTTTGTTTTTAAGTCTACTACGACTTTCGTTAAGATTATTCTCGTTACAATGCAATATATTTTTACTTATGATCTTTATATGCATATGTTTGCATTCATGAAACATATGCATATAAAGATCGTAAGTAAAAATATATTACATTGTAACGAGAGTAATCTAAACTAAAGTCGTAGTAGACTAAAATACGAACACATGAATATAAATATCATTAAAACCCGAGATTGTATGAAGAAGTTATGATCAGAACACATGACCTAAGCAACCAAGTAGTGGAGATTGTGATGTACATAAACATTAAAAGCCCCAAATACCTCATTAATGATTGTCTCACGTAAGATATCGTGAGAAAAACCTAAAGAAATCATTCATAAGTACTGAATTAGTCCAAAAACAAAAACGACTTATTTTGAAACAAAAAAAGATTTAGGAATAAATCTGTACAAATTAAGGACTAAATGCGTACAAAGTGAAAAATATATTACCTATTAAGTCATTTTTACCGGCTAACCTGGAGTAGCCGGTCATAAGGGCTGAATGTGTATAATTTAACAAGTTGAAGGGGTAAATATGAACGAAAAAACTTAGCGACCAAATGTGTACAAATCAAAAAATATATTACCCTTTTAAATCATTATCCTTTTTTATATAGAATATATAAGAAGTTTTATGTGGACATCCATTGAGAAAAAAGCCAGACACATGTGGTTAACCAAAAACATAAATAAATTCTTTTTTAACGGTTTCTATTTTTTTTTATATTTTTTATGTTGTAATATTACCGATGTTTTAGAAGGTAGGGTTATCAAATAAAATACTTTCTAATGATTTAAATTATCAAATTAATAAAACACAACATGAATAACAAATCAGATGGTAAATGAATAAAAGAAGATTGAGAAGAAAAAGAAACCTTAAAATAACAACTTTCAAGAAATGCTTATCGACTATAATGCTCTTTGTTGAATGACTACACACGTTGATTTGTTGAATTCCAGCCTCCATCTAGAAGCCCATATTTTTTATGAAGCAATTTTCTTCTTAGGATGACAAAATTTCTTTCTATTCTCTGATGAACACATTAAATGGAGAAGATGAAATGGTCAGTGAATTTACTATAAAAATAACTTCTTGTGTTAGTTGTAAGACATCCTAAACACAAAGAGTTAGAAAAAGCCAAACAAATCAAGCATGGAAAGTCAATATTCTATAAGAAATTTGTTAATCCAAGATGATAATTCTCCTAAAGAAGAAGATTGCTTTTCTTTTCCTAACCATTTGCTTCCACGTGAGTTCAAGTAGTAATGACATAAATTCTTACAAAGAACATTCATCTTAATTTTTGTTTTTCTTTTGTTCTTTACTTTTAGTTAATTGATAAAAAATATATGAAGTAGGTTTCCGAAGGCAGGATACAATGTAACTTACGATTTGATCCCAATGCCGCTAGAGCAACATTAGAATGGATTTGATGTGGGGCCATGATGGACATCATCTCAAGGGATTTACTGTATTCATCTTTAGATATCGTATCCAACGACAACCAATGTCTTCTCCTAGGTTGTATTATTGATAAGCTTACATACATAACACATTATACTGTATTTGACATGCTTACGACTAAGACTAATCAAATTGATACCAATAAAACAAAAACTACAACTTTTATCCCTTCACCACCCCCATCATCAAGAATAGTTCTAGAAAGATTAATTCAATCCCATAAACCGAAATCCAAAAATGACAAGTTCTAACATAACAAGATCCTAAACATCCACAATTTTGCCTTTAAAGTTTGAAAAAAGTTAATTTTTCATTCATAATGAAAGGCTTTAAATATTTGGAGACGCTATTAATTTCTTTTTGCTTTTTCAACTTTTTATTTTCTCATAATTGTTTTAACATGTATAATATAGAAAGCTAGAAATGTTATAACTAGATACAAAAAGTTTTTTTTTCCCTAATTTATATAAAATAAAAAAACAAAAATGCTTGCAAAAACAAGAGAATCTAGCATCAATAAATATACAATATGCATTAATATCAATTTAATCTCAAATATACCGATCTATTAAAAATATATAAATAACTAAAATTAGTGGGACCCATAAATATCTTGCCATGTTTTTATTACATCACTGATATGACAAGATTTTAGATTGTAATAATCCTTCAAAGTTTTCAAAAAGATGTAAACCCAGTGTTTACTTATGAAGGACACTCTTCTTTGGGAGCTTCGATTTCTTTTGTGCCCGTTGCTGTGTAAAAAAAATAAAAATAAAAATAAAATGAAAATGGCTGAATTGTTAAGACATGTTATTTAATTGTTAAATGAATGAAAATTTACCTTTTGCTTTTCTAAGGCCTCGAAATCTGTTCTCTCTTTCCATTTGCTCTTACGCAGTTTTATTGGACGATTTCCAACATACTTCCCTAAAATTAAAACCCTTTTAATAATTAAATACTAAAAAAAATGTGGTACAAAACACAGAAAATAATAAGTATGCAAAATAAAAAAATTAAAGAGCATACCATTCATTTCTTTAAGAGCAGCTGCAAGATCAGTGGGATTAGCAAAACTCACAAATCCATATCCCTTTGTCTTTCCTGTGCGTTTATCTCTCACAACCTAAAACCATTTCATAAAAAATTATGTTCAAAAAGACAAGATTGCCCTCCTCCTCATTTCATCATCAAAAATACCCCTAGGATAATGCATGTCTGTGTGTGTGTGTATATATATATATATATATAAAACAAATAAAGTATGATTCTTTATGATTCAATCAGCATAAAAACTGGATCATAAAATCCAAATAAAGATATGAAGCTACTTTTCAGAACATACATAAACATAAATTCAATTTTTTGT